AATAGTTCTGATCTGAATCCAATGGACTATTGTATTTGTGACTAATTTGCAGAGGCTATCGACTGGTGGCCGGTAACATCGAAAGAAACTCTCATCAGAGAATTAAAACGAGCAGTAAAAGAAATTCGAACAAATGTTATTCTAAAATCTTGTTCATCCTGGACTATTCGTTTGCAACGTGTTTTGAAAAATAACGGATCGTTTTTGAAGAAATAAAAAATTATCTACCTTGTAGAGAATTTTCAGACGAATCTTTTTAAAAAAATTTGGTCTTGAGAAGATGAAATTTAAGAGAGATGTCAGTCAAATACTGGGAGGTCCGTTTATTCTGGGACACCCGATATTTCTTTTTTCTTACTGTGTTTTTTATATGTGAATATCTTAATGGATTTGTTAAATGTTTAAAAACTAACATCAATTCATCTTCTAATAAACCATAACGATTTTCAGGTAATTGAACTACATTATGTAGACTTTCACCATTACAATATTCAATAAGTAATGCTTTAAGATTATTTATTGAACTAGATGAATCAACTGATATAACAGGTTCTAATGCAAAATATCGAACAATATTTTCATGATTAGTTGATTTAAGAATATCTAATTAATGATCTAATATAGTACTATAATCTCGATTACGATTTACTTTTCCATCTCCATGTGGTGAACGAGAATTTGATGAATTTTGATAAAATTTAGCAGCAACAAGTTCACCTGTTGTTGTATTATATGCTTTATATACTTGTGATGTAGCACCGTGTCCTAGAATATCTTGTACTGCTCTTGGATAATTTTTTGTTTCTTTTCACATAACTAAAGGAATAGAAATGATTTTTGAAATTTTTAATGGATTTATTATTGACAGAAAAAATCAATTTCATGAAAAAAAAGATATTTCGGTACACTGGGTAGTGAATAAACAAAACTTATTCTTCTTTTCCTATAGTCTACCCATGTCGATAGGACACATTACCGACACATGTGTCGACACAATGACACGATGGAGTTACACGTAACAACACGTGTCGACAAAGTGAATTTTCTGTACGGCATGTATCGACATATGTATCGGTAGCGTGTCTTGAATAAATAGCGATATAACGGGTAGCGCAGAATAAATCAAACTGTTAGTATTTTTATAATTTCTCCTCTTTTATCCCCATAATGGAGACACTTTTTTTATCAAAAGATAGCGCTTGAAATTCTCTACAAAATTATATATGACTAGGCGCAAA